AGCTGTCCATTCGAGCGTGCAGGGAGGTCAGGTTCAGCAACGGCGGTCAGTACTTTGCGGCGGCCAACGGGAACACCATCCAAGTGTACAATACCTACACCTGCGAAAATATCGGGAATCTGAGGGGCCACAACGGAAAGGTACAGTGGCGATTCAATTGCTCGGATTCAGTCCGGTGCAGCATTTTATGTTGGTGCTTTCGATCACATGGATAAACCGGATTCACTGCCTCCAAGGAAGCATCTCTCTATACGTACACCAGCGATCTGGAGACGGTCATATGAGAAATTTGTGTATTCTGGAAGTATGTATCCAAGATATGGCGCCTGAAACATATTCGATGTCCAGGATATGGGTTAGGATATGAGACGTATTGGTGGATTGAATCAAAATAAATTGAAGGTTTAATTTTTGAAATGAAAAGCTGATCGCACAATCGCTAAATAAGGCTTCCCATGACTGGGTCCGAAGCTACTGTGTGGTGGAGTGCAATTCAGTGGGTGTAATGTTGGCAGCTGTATGCATTGCATTTTTCTTAAGCAACTGCAAAGAAAGTATCTATAGATGCATAAAAAATAGCTGTGCTGAGTCAAACCCCAATTTGCCTGAATTCAGTAACTGAGTTAATGCAAATGAGAGTGATGCATTGCGATACAGTAATCGCTGCAAGGACGCAGTGGAAGTGCTTTTCCGCTTCTTCCAAAGTATTTCATACAAAATTTTTTCATAGTTCTCGATCCTACAATCAATTTTCGAATAGAACTCAAATGCCATTGTTAAAGCTAAGCGTAAATTCAATCAAAAGAATGGGCGCACAAGTGTTTGCTAATCCCCTTTTCAAGCACACATCTGCGGGACGGGCAGGCGCTGCACAGCGCGCTTCCTTTGGGTTGGCAGATGATTTGACTATTGTGGGGTAGGTGCGCAGTTTGCACTGGTCTCCGGATGACGGCAGGCTTCTGTCAGCGGGCATGGACGGCGCGGTGTACGAGTGGCGCCTCAAGGACTTCAAGAGGGAAAAGGAAAACGTGCTCAAGGGCTGTAACTACACATGCGCCCTGTCCACCCCCGACTGCTCGGCAATCTACGCCGTCGGGTCTGACATGAAACTGAAGGAGCTGGAGGACACGCCCACCTCGGGGACTCAGATCAGCAGAGAGATAGACGCTGACGTCATTCTGACACAGATCGCGCTGCCATCAGGTGAGGGAGACAATGGGTCACCAGATACCGCAAAGAGGTGGACCGGCCACACATGCCTCGTGACTGGGAACTGGGACTTCGAATGAGTGGCGGACTTCGATCGAATAACTTCCTTCGATATCAAAGTTGCACAGCACACATACAAATTCCTGCCCATGTGGATGCATGCACGTGGGCGTGCTTGTGCAGGCGAGTGGGGCAGCCCATGTTGCAGTCCCATCCCTATGATTGCTCCCAATAAAAACTTGAATTAGAAAAAGGAATTTGTCGGGGAAGGTTGCTGAGAAAGATCTTTAGCGCTTCGCTACTTCCATAGACAATGCAGTAATGGCACTTTTAGCAATTCAAATGCAGCTTTTGTGCATTTACAGGCATTCGAAGTCTTGCAGAGTACATTTTTGACGAATGCCCACCCCATGTTTCCACTTATACTCTGCATTTAAATCCCATTGACAGAGGGCGTTCACAGGGAGAATGATTGAGTGTAGAACACGTTTTTTCAGTGCCAGTTCTGCAAATTTGGTATTGAATAACGCGAGCACGTTCGCGAGTGGATTGTTCAAGAAACGGTATGAATAGCACTCATGCATCGCATGAATGCACAATGTCAAACTCCTTCGTCTCGTTGAAAGCGCAGCCATCCAATTAGATGCTTGCAAGGATTGAGCCGCTAAAAGCACCGCCTGCACACTGTGCACTGGTGGCACTTGCCACTGCATTCTATTCTACCCAGAATTGAATATGCATGGACCACGGATCAAGCGCGCCGGCAATTCGATGATGGACCTTTCCTTTCCGACAGTCTCCATTGGGGATTCTTTGTACGAAGCCAGATGGCCTGCTTGAGGTCGTCCGGTTCCGTGGCCAGGGGCGAGGACAATGTTCGCCGCGACGCAAAATGGAACGGTGCGGTCCTATCGCTACCCGCTCACTGGCGAGTTCCATGAATACAAGTGCCACAACGGGCCCATCACTCGGCTGGCCCTGGGATTCGACGACGAGATACTTCTGACCACCAGCGAGGATGGGTCCCTGCTTGTGTTTGATGTCAAAGACAAGGATCCCATACGTGGGGTCACGGCAAAGAGGGAGCAGGTGCGCAAAAGAAACGATGTTTGACACTGAATGATGCTCGATGTGCGCATTGCAGGTGATGTATGACACATGTGGTATGTGACCACACATTACGTGGTTTGCATAGGTATATTAGACCTCTCTCTTTCTCTCTCTCTCTCTCTCTCTCCCTGGGTTGAAAGTACTGCAACATGATCTGCACTTATCCATTCTGCACAAAACTTGGATAGCAGGTAACAATCTTTTAGGCGGTGATCTGGAAAATTTTTTAATAAAATATAGTCAGTGCGTGATACAAAGATGACCTCCCAAACAAATTGTTTCACTTCATTCCTGACAGAGGAAGTAACACATTGGAGCTGAAGAAAATACTTACATGCAGCCCCTTTATCGCTGGTCTTGATAAATGTCGGTATATGACCACATACCTGACGCGATTGCCTGGAGTGGGTCACACCGTCAAACAGTGGACCTAGTTTGCCATTGACTGCATTTGATTAGAAAGTTGTTGAGTTTCGTGGCTGCACATTGCATTGGGGCCACCTCTGGGCGAAAGAGTCTCCTGGCTGCATGTGCCGGCAACAGCCGCGGTATCGCGCGATTGAAGCAATTGCAGTAACGGCCGTATCGATGGCATCCAGGAAAAAACTACAGAAACTTGGATATGGAGAAAGGGGGAAGTGGCCAGAAGTAAATGATGGAACAGGCCTGTCTTCCAGGAAAAAGTTCCGTACGCCGAGGAAGTGCTGATAACGAAGTCGGAGCTTGACGAGCGCCGAACGAAGATGCACGATTTGGAGAACCAGGTCAACGAGCTGACCATGCACACCGAATACCAGCTGAGGCTGAAGGACATGCACATGCAAGAGAAGATGAAGGAAATGACGGACAAATTCACCGGAGAGCTGGAAACGGACAAACAAAAGTTCGACCTCCTGCTCCAGGTGCGCGTGGTTGAGGATTCTTGCCTGTGGTTCTTGCCACCAATGTCGGTTGACCGAAATTGGCGCGCAATGTGGCTTCCAATAAAAGAACGCTCCTATTGGAATGAGCCACTGCAACCCACAAATGAGCAAGCTAAATATATTGATGCGAATTCCGGTGCATAAAGGAATTCTCAGTCAGTCGCTAAATAGGGACTGAGTTGCTCCCTCTATGCAGGGGGCGACATATTGTAAAGAAATCCAGGTTCGGGCGATCAAAGTTCTTTGCGAACTCTTCTGAACTCCTATCATCTCTTCATAGGACCGCGGGCAATGCATGGCGTATGTTAACATTGGAAACTCCACATCGTCTGATGAACCATATTGTATGATTCCCGTGTCCTGTGCTATCATGTGCTGCCAGGTATGCTTGCCTCCTGGCCTCTCAAATCTGCACTGCACATGCGGCATTGCTGTATGCAGCTCAGTTGAGGGATGGTGCATAACGGTAAACTGTGTTGAAATCCCCTCCCAAGGCCACGTTGCACTCAGGGTATTCCTGTGGGTCCCGCAGGAAAAGAATGAAATGGAATTGGAGTACGAAGACAAGCTCAGAATGGCGCAAGAGCGCAGCCAGCAGCAACTGAATGCTCTGGATTCTCAGTACCAACAGAAGATAATGGCCGAAGTCGAGCGGTACCAGCAGCTCGTGCAAGAGAAGGAGCTCCTAAACGAAAGGCGAGCTGGCGCTTTCGCCCTTTTAAGGGAGGATAATCTGCTCGCGTTGTAGATGTAGTGCGCCAGCCGCATATCTGCGTACAAAATACTTACAAGGCTTTCATTGAAAAGCTGTCATGTCAGAAATTGTTCAAGTTTCTTCACGCGACGACATACCAAAGGCATGCCTCATTGCTCGCCATTCCACTTTGTTCATCAGTACAAGCGGAATTCCGAAGCGCCGTGGATTTTTGTAGAACATGAATAATGATCAATTGACTGATCAATTTACTGAAATTAACCGACAATTAATCATCAGAACTTTTTGTGTCATAATAATCGGTCCCCTTGCACTTGCGAAGCAAAACTAGAAACCTGTTGCTGCAGGATTGTCTATAAAGTAAGAAAACAGCTGCAGTATTAAAAAAAACGACGTCGCCAGACACTCATGGGCGCCTGAAGCGCCTCCTACTCCTACTGAGTTGTATCTAGCATGGCAATATTGCCAATAAATTCAAGTAATGCAAGTAACAGTAGTAAAACTATCCTGAGTCCTGAATTGTTTTGCACCTTCGGCGCTGAAGGTGGGATGAGCAGAACGCCTTGTTAGTAGAGTCCCACGAAAGCGTCATTCAAGAGCTCGCGGAAGAGTACGAGACCAAGCTCAGGGACGAGAACATGAACTTGGAGGGTCTCCGCCAAAGCAAGGTTGAACTGGAGAAGGAGTTCGACGAAATCAAGCGGCAGCTGGAGGAGGATGCTGACAGAGAAATAGAGGAGTTGAAGGAGAAATACGAGCAAAGGCAAGTCGAAACAACAAAAGGGACACAGCCGATTCTATGGCTTTGTCATTTAGAATGCTGGGACGGGATAATATTTCTGTGCATACTGTAAGTTTGTTCTATTTTAATCGCTCCATTCTTGCCGCCACGTGACTCGGAAGTCGGCGAAATGGTGGCGAATCCGCGCAGATCGTTTTTCAGGTACTGTGCGTAGCGTTGTGTATAGTGCTAAATGTTATGGTGCATCCACATACAGATGCAAAGTATGACTGGCATTCATCAGATGTGCAGGTTGTCACAGGAGAGAGAATTAGGGCTCAGGCTAAAGGGCCAGAATGGCATCATGAAGAAGAAGTTCAGCGCTCTGCAAAAAGACATAGAGGCCCAGAAGGAGGAGATCAAGGCTTTGTTTGACCAAAAGAAGGAGTTGTATCAGACCATCGGCAGCCTCGAGAAGGACATTATGAGCCTGAAAAGGGAGATCCACGAGAGGGACGAGACTATTGGCGACAAAGAAAGGCGCATATACGACCTCAAGAAGAAAAATCAAGAGTTAGAAAAGTTTAAATTCGTCCTGGATTACAAGATCAAAGAGCTGAAGAAGCAGATTGAACCCAGAGAGATGGAGATTGGGGATATGAAAGATCAAATAAAAGACATGGACGACGAGCTGGAAAGGTAGGGGATACATGGACGCTCCTGTTTGGCTAGTTTCTATAGCATTCCTGTGCGTCTCGCAGCGTGGCAAAAATACTAGGAAACTTTCCTTGGCGGCAATCTCTGGATCTCCACCCTCTTAAATTGGTGGGTTTGTCTTATGGGGACGGTGGCAACAGCTAACGGTAAACCAGAATTTGGCTACAATACATAAGCAGCATTTTTGGCGCTTGCTGGCATGGAATCACCTGATACAGGACTGGGACACGCTTTGATGCAATTATTCCCTAAAAAACAGCAATAAGGAAAGGGTGTGATTTTATCCTGCGGTGCAGTAGTCTTACTGCCTCAGTCGAAGAACAATGATACACAGAAGATCTCCTCACTTCTGCTCACACAGTAAATACGGTCTTGCTTTTCATTGCCCAGTGCACGCAGTGTTATTCCAAGGAAGTGTTGCGAAAACAAATGCGCAACAGTACCAGCGAAAGCATGTCACTTTTTCAAGCGTACGGATTCACCCTATGATAACGTCAGTCGGTTGATGAGTACGCTGAGATGCCGATCACATGTTCGCCATCTGACAGCACTGTTCAGCCAGTTTCACCGAATGATTGGTCGTAAGCAAAGCGGTCCACGTTTGAGGCTGTAGACCGAGGCTCTATGTCATCTAGTAAATCTACAAACATATCGATACATTGTATGGTCGACTACCAAAATCAGGCAACCGATGCCTTATTCGTGATGCTGTTGGGCATTTTGCGAGCTTTGGCATCGCGGCAAGGGGCCATGTCTGAGATTGTGTGCTCAACTTGCGCGTGGTCAAGCGTGACTAATCCTCGAGCTTGGTCAAAGCCCACCCAATTGTTACGCGTTCACTAAACGGCACGATTTCGAATGTTTTGAACTGCTGTCGATTGTGCAGATACCACACAACCAACGCCAGCTTGGACCTCATCATTTCCAACTCCAAGTTGAAAGAAAACGGTCTAGTTAAGGAAATCCAACAGCAGCAGAACGCCAAGAACGACGCCTTGCTGCTGGTGAAGCGTTTGAGGACGGACCTCCACGATGTCGTGCAGTACCTCCAGGACCCAAAACTTCTCAAGGAAAAGGTGATCTGTGCGGCTTGCCGTTTTTTTCACCAAATGGCGCTATGGTGGACACAGCCAGTCGACGTTCGTGGGCCTTATGGGCTGCGGCGTTGGGATCAGCATTGTTTTGCAACAAGAGGGGGTACTTAAATTCAAATCGCCGGCGGCTGTGAAGAATCTGTGAATGAAAATGCTGGTGGAGCGAACATCCATGTGCGCTCATAAGTGACGCCAAAATGGATATGACAGGATGCTTCACATTGGACCCTGCATAACAGCTCTGAGGCCACTCTGACATTATGACACACTGTGGATGGCAGTGTCAAAAATGCGTTCAATCGAGGAGCATCGTGGTCGGGCATGGCGATTTTGGGATCAGCGTTATAGATTTGGCGCGAGACCTCAATTGTTCGGGACAAAATGATGTCTCCAAATGATGTGCTCTAGGTCAAGGAGATGTATCACACGCACGTTCACAAACACATTCAGCCCGTGGCAGTGGAGGAAGACATCCAAGCGGAGTACCAGAGGCAGAGAGACTACCTCGAAAAGACGGTGGAGGGACTCAAACGGAAGTTGAGCAAGGAGACAGACATGCATAAGATGAACACAGCCAGGATCATACAGGAGAACGTGGCTTTAATCAAGGAGATCAACGAGCTCAGGAGGGAAATAAAGGTTACGACATGTTGCAGGCGCTCCGTACGAATTGCAGCTGAAAACAGGAACAACTCCGCAATACTAGCTACCTTTCGGCCACCTTCTAAGTGGTGGTGGAAAATCGGTGTCTGGGCTTCACATGCCTGCTGCAGCGCATCGTTGTTGGAGGTATCTCAGCTTCTTGTCATCTGGGCAATCTCTGGATTGTGGTTCGAGCACACTGATGACACAACAATCGCCGTGCGACGATACCTCTTTTATTCTCGTATGCACCTGCGGACCACAGTCTCGGCACTGCATTAGTCACATTCACACGGTACGAGACGTGCACACGAACAACAAACATTGCACAAGGCACTTCGTGCACAGCTGCGGCATCCTCCGACTACTGCCACTCATCTCGAATGTTGAGATGAAGCGTTTTGCATCTTGCAGTGGAAAGCCCCCCCCATGCCATTTTGTTTATGCCACCGCAACCTGGGGCCTGACAATGTGTGTGCGATGCATTCTTTAAGGCCTGCAAACAGATGACTGGCGCACTCAGAGGTCCGCCTTCAGCCGCAGTCAGCAGCTTGCCGCCCACTACAGCTGGCGGCGACGGTGTGATGAAAGCGGAGTTGGAGGCCCAGCATCAGCTCATAAAGCAGCTGCAGCAGGACCTGGCAGAGAAAGAGGCGCGGATAAAGGCGCTCGAGCAAACAGTCATCCCGAGGCCAGTGTCCAGGGAGCGCCTGCCTCCGGTGGATGGGATGAACGATCCCAACCTGTCCACTGGGGGGGAGACCCCGAGAACGCCTTAGATTGCCACCAATCCGCCTGGGTGCAGCATCCGATTGTGATCACCTGGAATGTGAACGCGAGACATGGGATGTCGCCGTGGGCGTGCGGCACTCGATTTTTGGTAGGTGACTGCGGTCGCTAGGCGAGCTGCAACATTGCGAAATTTTGCAGCCGTGTAGAATGAAGCCGAGTCCATTGGACGGGAAGCAGGAATCGGATGTATATCACATTGTGTGCATCTGAGTGTGAATTAGCGAATTGGCTAGGTTTGGGTTGGTGAATCGAGTGCATCGATTTTGATTGGCACATGTCCACAGGAAGACATGGACTGTTTGCCAACCTTGAGCATGTGGGGCCCCCCGGACGTGGAGTGGTGTATCACTGCTGTTGAATGCCCAGGCACTGGGCTTCTGGGAAGGCTTTGCCATCATTATGCTTACACCCTCCTTGGCTGATCTCGGGGCAGTGCTCTGTACTGCATGCTGTCCAACACTGAATAGTTGGAATACGAACACAAACGCCTGGAGTTGAGCACCACTTCTCTTTTCTATGGATTGCCACCACTGCAGCCACCAAGGGAGCTGTGGACACTGCCCTGTGCTCTCTGGCCTGGTGCCACCAGTCCAATACCTGGAGCACCACATGGCAAGAATGCTGCCCTCAACATTGATGAAAACATTGACATCGCCATGACAGGCAGCCTCTGCCTCAACATCGATGAAAACAGAGACATCGCCATGACAAGCAGCCTTCTAGAACGACACACATAATGACCACAGAAACCTGTCAAGTGTTAACTTGGATCAATATACTGAACGTACAGATCGATATGCCTGGCAACCAAAACATTGGTGCATTTGCATGGATGGCACACAATGAAGAACAGCAGCACAGATCAACAAAGATCAACGGAGATCAGATCAACGAACCATGTCATTAAAAGCGAACACGAGGTCACCAAGAATGCAATAGTTACAAATGAAGTTGATAGCAACAGGCTGCCCGCAACGATCCATAGGCCCAGAGCCTTGCCTCGAAATGAAGAAACAAAAATCGCCACTGGGTGGCAGGGCGCACAATGGGCACCCCGCTGACCGGGTGCCAGCGAATATTATTCGCCGCTGATGCCCGGTGGGCTGCAGGCAGCCTCCGAAAAAATCCAGTCACGCGGGCTCGGGATGGGCGAGGGGGCATCTTTCACCAATGAGTGTGCACGCTGAAAGAGTCCTTCAAAGAATCCTTTATTCCGCGCGGAAGGGTTCAAGAATTTCGCCGCCGATTCAAGAATTTCGCCGTCTGCGTCAGCCAGCGCCGCCCGCCGCCCCTGTCTTTCTCCTCGTCCAAATGAATTTCGAAGCAAGGGGCATGCGTCCAGCCGACCACGTCCACAGCGCGCCACCACCACCATCTACCGAGTCTCCCTCACACCACCTCAATCGCCGACGCGCCGACGCCGCAACACGCCACCCTCTCCAGCCATCTCCGCAGCTTCCCCTTGCGGCCCACACGGGGGGGTGCCACCTCCACCGCCCCATCGCCTTCGACCCCCGGACCCTCCGGCCCGCCATGGGCCCCCGCCGGCCCGCACATCGCGGCGATCGCCCTCCCCCCCTCCCGCATCCCATCCTCGCAACACGCCCGTGGCAGCCCACCCTGCGTCTCGACGCCGCCCTTCTCTTGACCGCCTCCAGCACCGCGCACCCTGAACGACACCTCCCCTTCGCAGGACGCCTCATTTTCCTTTCCCGACCCCTCCCGCCTTTCACAGCCATCCAGGATTAGCTCCTTTTTGCCTCCAGCCCAGCCCCGTAAACCCTTCATCCCATTGTCCGCATCCCCGCCCCCCTCCCCAACTTCCGGTTCCAAGACTCCCTCCAGGGCGAATTCGCTGCCGAATCCGGCCCGGCTTCGCACCCGCCACTGGCCCAGCTCGCGCGGCGTGTCCGTGCCGAACGCGCTGTCATCCGCCATGCCCGCGGCCTCCAGCAGACCCCGCCCCTGCCCCCCATCCCCCTGGCCTTCCCTCTGCCCCGGCATCCCCAGGTATTCTTTCAGGCGCCTCTCCAGCGAGTTGCGCTTCGCAATCGATGCCACGGTGGGCGCCGCGTACCGCGGCTCGCGCCTGGGCGCCTTGCCCCCGCTCGACTCGCTCATGGCGTCCTTGTCGAGCAAAGCGGGGCTGATCCTACCCCTACCCCCTGTCTGGCGATCGCTGGTCCCCTTGTAGACGTCCTTCAGCCTGCGCTCGAGCTCGCGCACAGGCGGCGCGCCCCCCCCTCTGTCGACGTCGTGGTACCAGTCGTACATTCCCGGGGCCGCCGGAGACGTCCGCCTGAGGTCCAGCGGATTGCGGCCGTCGCCGTCGGGATTGCCGCCGGGCATGGCGCCTGGGCCCTCGCGTTGGACCCGGGGGCGGCGGGGCGCACGGCGGGCCCGGGGCGGAGGTGCGGAAGGCGCTAGGGGCCCGGACGGCCGAAGAAACAGATCCCCGGACTGGAGGAAAAGGGCGGCTTTGGAGGCCGCGACGTCCGCCAGACTGGCTGCCCTCAACAGACTCTTTGCTCGCGCTGGGCGTATCAGCGAGCCCATTGCCTCCGTAGGTTATGGCGCGCCGGGCGGCCCGGCAGAGGCTTAGTCACGGATTCGGGGTAGGTGTGGAGTGACCTTGGAGGAATCACGCCAAGCCTTGGGCGACCCCAGCCAAATTTGCGTGGCGGGGGCCTCAAGGCTCCGCCCGGGCTCTTTGCCACAGGCCGGCGATCCGGTGTCGGTCCACGGTGGAGTGGGGACTCATTTGCGCAGCAGAAAGGCGACCTTCCCTGGATCACACTCACGCTGGGGGCGGACTGCCGGCGATTGACGGGCGCCATGCAACGTGATCGCGTGCCATCGGTGGCATTGGGGTTGCACCCGGCGCTCCCGGCCCCGTTGGTAGGGAGAAAAGATGCCGCACTCCACCGGCTCACTGATCTGATGTTGTTGAACGGTGTCTTGGTGCTGAAAAGGCCGCAACCCCCTGCGCTTGTGAGCAACTGCTCCACCAGTGCGTCATGCGCATGTGCTCTGGAGCTGGGGCCAGCGACATTGTGGTAAGGTGGCATTCTAACAATTACTGTGGCTGATGTGAGGCCCACAAAGCGTTTCCACACCGGTTGTAGCACTACAACAGGTCAATATTGACATCGACGCTCAGTCAATGAGCTTCTGATCAGGGAGATGCGGATACCACTCACAGGGATGGGCGCCGCCGATTTGTCACGCATGCTTCAAGGCTGGCAGTTGCCCCCTTTATCTTTGTGTTCGTGATGCCACATAATGACCACCGTTTCACTGGGTGATCACTGAGGTAATTGGCGTACCATGGGTATCTACTATACGCACTATGCACGCTGCATGGGGTGGCCCCGGTATGCCACCATTGCTGATAATAAAAAGAATAAAAAAAGAAGACATTCATAAAATGGGTTATGAGCCAACAACCGCAAATCTTAGGAGTGAGAATGAGGGCGGTGCAAGGTTAGGGAAGCAAGGGCTGGATGTGAGATGCCACCCTGTGTTCTCATCAGATTCATGTCACCACTCAGCGCCCCAGATTGATTGGATTCAATGACCGTTCTAGGATGTCCTTGTCCTCAAAGGCACAGGTTGTGTGGGTAGATTGGGATAGTCTAATCAACTATCCCCTAGTTTGAGAAAGACCATCTGGGCTGTCTAACTTGACGAGGGAAGATAAAGTTAATGGCGTGGTTTTCGGTTCGATGCGGGCGAGGCTCCCGCCGCGGCGCCCAATTCGGCCCGGATAGGCCTCCTCCGCCGGATGACCGGCGGGCTGTCCGGGGCGCTCGCTCCTTCGGGGTGCGCAGTGTGGGCCCAGGCCTGCGGATGGCCGGGCGCGGGGGGCTGGGCGCGCTGTGGATGCACGGCACCATGCGGCTCGCGGGTGCAACCGCGGGGTGCGCGGAGTGGGCGAGAGAATGGAATTACAGTCTGACAGGAGGTCGCCCCTTTGAGGGGGTGGCCTCCGCCTGGATCACGTGACAATGCGGCTGCTGGGCCCAACGACAGTATCTTATCCCCCAATACGGTTCCGGCAAGGGAGTCTAAAGTACTGGTAATGTATCTAACCATAACTCCTCTACCGCTAACCCAATAGAGGTGGTTCAAAAACCTATGAGTTCCTAATAGACTCTACTATTATATGTAGAGGTGGCCCCATCTGTCCGTCCCCAACAGAATTTGTTTGGCTCCGTTAAAATTCTGTACAATCAACAGAATTTATGAGGGAGCCACAGAGAAGAAAATCGTTTTACAGAAACGGGTAGGGCCATACTGATGTCAGCATAGACAACTACAGAAATCCACACAGCCTTACAGAATGAAACCAAGTGTTACAGAATTCGCGCCGCCGTCTACGGATGATAGGCACCCGCAACAGAACCGCTGACCGGACCACAAAGGTCGACAGAATTCCATAAAAAATCGATGGCAATCGCTGCCAGGAAAGGCCCGCACTTATGATTTATAGTATGTTGTGATGATGTGTTCTGTGTGTGTGCTGCCTCCAGCCAAGTACCGGCAGCGATCGCTGCTGGGAAGGGCCCGCACTTATGATTTATAGTACGCCGTGATAATGTGTTCTGTGTGTGTGCTGCCTCCAGCCAAGTACTGGCAGCGATCGCTGCTGGGAAGGGCCCGCACTTATGATTTATAGTATGCCGGGATGATGTGTTCTGTGTGTGTGCTACCTCTAGCCAAGTACCGGCAGCGATCGCTGCTGGGAAGGGCCAGCACTTATGATTTATAGTACGCCGTGATAATGTGTTCTGTGTGTGTGCTGCCTCTAGCCAAGTACTGGCAGCGATTCGATATGCCTCTATTCGCGACAAGCTTCCAGAATCTCAAAGTCCATGACGGATGGCAACGGAATGCCAGGAAAGGCAACGGAAAAAAACATCTTTACAGAAATTGGTGGCTGCAAACACCCCCTTGACGGACAGCTCCAGAGCCAAAAAACTGGAAGCTGATGTGGCATGAACGGCAACAGAAAACCGGCCCCGGCAAAACAACAGAAAAGTGACAGACGGATTTTTCGTCTTGAAAAAAAATACGGACAGAAAATAACAAAAAAA